CGCCCACAGATATGGGGTCCACTACCGCCCACAGAATAGATATGGGTCCACTACCGCCCACAGATATGGGGTCCACTACCGCCCACAGATATGGGGTCCACTACCGCCCACAGAATAGATATGGGGTCCACTACCGCTCACAGATATGGGGTCCACTACCGCCCACAGAATAGATATGGGGTCCACTGCCGCCCACAGAATAGATATGGGGTCCACTACCACCTACAGAATAGATATGGGGTCCACTACCACCCACAGAATAGATATGGGGTCCACTACCATCCACAGAATAGATATGGGGTTCACTACCACCCACAGGATGAGTGTGGAGTGCCTCTGTGACCCACGACCACCCACAGGACAAAGAGAAGGACCCAAATCTTACCACTATAGAGACAGTTGTCCAGCCCACCAAACGTCTCAGCTTCCTGTGTGTGACCATCTTCCTGTGTGTGTTCGGCTGTCTTTGATAACTCTCTTGTAACTTGAGTATCTGAAATACGAGAGACACGGCTCCGATGAAGGAATATTTTCGTCGTCCAAGCCTTCTTTCTTGGACTAAATGGTGATGTCCAGGCCCAAGCCACTAGGACTGGTCGGTACAGGGACGGACTCGTGTCCTGCTGGGTTGGGGGTTCGATTTCTGTCAGGCTCAGTGTTTTTTGAGCATCTTTCTTTGGCTCCGGCTTCTTATCGAAGCTCCTTGAGCTCATATTCTAGCTCCTTGTTCTTATATTCTAGCTCCTTGGCCTTATATTCTAGCTCCTTGTCCTCATATCCCAGCTCCTTGTCCTCATATCCCAGCTCCTTGTCCTCATATCCTAGCTCCTTGTCCTCATATACCAGCTCCTTGTACTCATATACCAGCTCTTTGTCCTCATATACCAACTCCGTGTCCTCATATCCCAGCTCCTTGTCCTCATATCCCAGCTCCTTGTCCTCATATCCTAGCTCCTTGTCCTCATATCCCAGCTCCTTGTCCTCATATTCTAGCTCCTTGTCCTCATATCCCAGCTCCTTGTCCTCATATCCCAGCTCCTTGTCCTCATATTCCAGCTCCTTGTCCTCATATCCCAGCTCCGTGTCCTCATATCCCAGCTCCTTGTCCTCATATTCCAGCTCCTTGTCCTCATATCCCAGCTCCTTGTCCTCATATCCTAGCTCCTTGTCCTCATATCCCAGCTCCTTGTCCTCATATTCCAGCTCCTTGTCCTCATATCCCAGCTCCTTGTCCTCATATCCCAGCTCCTTGTCCTCATATCCCAGCTCCTTGTCCTCATATCCCAGCTCCTTGTCCTCATATACCAGCTCTTTGTCCTCATATCCCAGCTCCTTGTCCTCGTATCTCAGTTTGTCCTTCCAAGGATATCCCTACCAAGTATTGTATAGTTATATAGCTTTGTTATACACACACACACACACATACACACGCGCGCGCGCGCCCACTCATATGTAGGTGTATATATGTGTTTCATTTCGAGAGGGGTGGGGTGGGGGGGGGAGATGAGTGACTAACGCTTATATCAAACTTTGGTTAGATATCAAAGTGCTCTTTTTCCCTTTTATTAAACTTGAGTATATCGAGGTGAAGTGTTGGAGGTATTGAGGAGTATTAAATGATATTTAGGATATAATTACTCTTGAAAAACTCTATACTATATATAGAGCTTTTCAAGAGTTTATATCCTAAATATATTTTAATACTCCACACTTGTAACCCATTACTGTAATATATTTTCATGGTTCCATATTTTCATGGTTCCACATTTTCATGGTTCCATATTTTCATGGTTCCACATTTTCATGGTTCGATATTTTCATGGTTCCACATTTTCACGGTTCCACATTTTCATGGTTCCATATTTTCATGGTTTTACATTTTCATGGTTCCACATTTTCATGGTTCCACATTTTCCTGGTTCCATTTTCATGGTTCCACATTTTAATGGTTCCATTTTTATGGTTCCACATTTTCATGGTTCCACATTTTCACGGTTCCACATTTTCACGGTTCCACATTTTCATGGTTCCACATTTTCATGGTTCCACATTTTCATGGTTCCACATTTTCATGGTTCCACATTTTCATGGTTCCACATTTTCATGGTTCCATATTTTCGTGGTTCCACAATTTCCTGGTTCCCCATTTTCGTGGTTCCACATTTTCCTGGTTCCATATTTTCATGGTTCCACATTTTCATGGTTCCACATTTTCATGGTTCCATATTTTCCTGGTTCCACATTCCCCAGCATCAGAAATTGGCATTTCTGATGAGCTGACGAACATCGCAAATGCAAACGCCTGTTGCATTTCTCTTCAATTTTTGCTATTAGAGCACTGCAGCGCTCTTTCCTGAGCGGGTGTTGCGTGCACTCGTGTCGTCATTGTCGCAACACAATCAACACAATCTCCGGCAACACAACGCTCTCGTTATCACCTCCAGTGATGGGGAGTTTATAGAATCTCAGTGGTTCCCACTTGAGCGGGAACTGTGGTGCTACTGGCTCACTGATCACTACTTAGAACAGGGCTCACCACTAAGCACAGGGCTCACCACTAAGCACAGGGCTCACCACTAAGCACAGGGCTCACCACTAAGCACAGGGCTCACCACTAAGCACAGGGCTCACCACCAACCACAGGGCTCACCACTAAGCACAGGGCTCACCACTAAGCACAGGGTTCACCACTAAGCACAGGGCTCACCACTAACCAACCACAGGGTTCACCACTAAGCACACCACTAAGCACAGGGCTCACCACTAAGGGGCTCACCACTAAGCACAGGGCTCACCACTAACCACAGGGTAAGCACAGGGCACAGGGCTCACCACCAACCACAGGGCTCACCACTAACCACAGGGCTCACCACTAAGCACAGGGCTCACCACCACAGGGCTCACCACTAACCACAGGGCTCACCACTAAGCACAGGGCTCATCACTAAGCACAGGGTTCACCACCAACACAGGGCTCACCACTAAGCACAGGGCTCATCACTAAGCACAGGGCTCACCACTAAGCACAGGGCTCACCACTAAGCACAGGGCTCACCACTAAGCACAGGGCTCACCACTAAGCCACTCACCACTAAGCACAGGGCTCACCACCACAGGGCTCACCACTAAGCACAGGGCTCACCACTAAGCACAAGGCTCACCACAGGGCTCACCACTAAGCACAGGGCTCATCACTAAGCACAGGGCTCACCACTAAGCACAGGGCTCACCACTAAGCACAGGGCTCACCACTAAGCACAGGGCTCACCACTAACCACAGGGCTCACCACTAAGCAGGGTTCACCACCAACCACAGGGCTCACCACTAACCACAGGGCTCACACTAACCACAGGGCTCACCACTAAGCACAGGGCTCACCACTAAGCACAGGGCTCACCACTAAGCACAGGGCTCACCACTAACCACAGGGCTCACCACTAAGCACAGGGCTCACCACTAAGCACAGGGCTCACCGTATCCACGTCACCACTGAGGGGTGAAAAGCCACCACCTCCACTCCAGGAAAACTAAAGGTTTAATCCCACTATTGGAAGCAACTGGATACAGAATGACGCCATCAACTAACAGTTAGGTCCCAACAGGTGACACGATGAACAATTCGGCTGATTTTCTGCATAATGCACTTTTTAAGAAATGCAATAGGCAGTGTTTTCTTCAAAACATGTCTTTGAAAAGCGAAGGTGCCAGTTTTTTTCCTGTAAGCAATTGGCCTTACTTAAGTCGTAAAAATAGTCTGTCACCGGCCTAGGATATACTGCGAATGGAGTGCAAGGAGAGAGGTATACAGCCTTTAGTTTACAAAGAGGGGGTTATACTACCTCTACTGTACACTAAGTTAGAGCAACATGTATGCTTGACATTTTTAAGTTAGCTACCCATCAAACGAGATTAGTTTAGAACGTTTTCTTTGAAGCTGATGACAGAAGAGAAAACGATATAGAGGGAAGACTCGTGCAAATGTTGATCAAAGGTCTTATATAGTCGTTTGATGTCACCAACTTGTTGATTTGAAAGTCCGTGATTACAGTATTCGAAAATATACTAAAACAAGCACACCACTTATGTGATAATTTATCATAAGCGTTTGTCTTGGTCTAAGTTCATTGTAAGCATCAACTTTCTAGTTATTAGTAACTGTTACCTATGCCAGGCTCATACTGTCTCGCCCTCCTAGATTGAACTACTAAATTTTTCCCGGATGTAACGTGAATAGATGAATTAGGTAAAAGGAAACTTTCCCAACCGTTGCGAAAACACGGATTCCCGGATTGGGAGTCGAGAACGTAGCCGACTGTGCTAAGGGGTCTCGGTAGCACAGTTGGATTCGTTCTTGATTCACAACCGGGGATCCCCTAGTTCAATTGACGGGCAGGACAGGCATAGATAAGCACGCTTTCTTTCACCTGATACCTCTGCCCACCTAGCAATAAATTGGTACCCAGTAGTCGTGCAACTGTTGTGGGGTTGCATCCTGTGTGTGTGGGGGGGGGAGGGGGGGAGTTCAGTAGTTCCATTTTATTTTTTAGCACCTGTTCACTCGGCAGTAATTGGTGGTTGTAAATCGATTACCAGGTCGAGTTCCAGGGAAACTTAGTAGGAAAAGCATTAAGATATGTAAAGGGAAGGCTTCAAATCTGCTGTATCCACCCCCCATGGATACAGCAGCCACCAGCCCCTCCCCACATGGATACAGCAGCCACCAGCACCTCCCCACATGGATACAGCAGCCACCAGCACCTCCCCACATGGATACAGCAGCCACCAGCCCCTCCCCACATGGATACATGTGCCCATCCGGGCTCAAGAAGGGTGCCTCTTTAGTGCAGGCTTGGAGTAGTTTCCTCAGTGTGTTTTCTGGCATATCAAGAGGAGTGCAAGCTGGGTCACGATACACTCTGCTATCATCCCTATTGTTTCGTCCACTGGTAAATAGTGACGTTGGTAAATAGTGACGTTGGTAAATAGTGACTCTACATCCAACGAGGCTCTTATCCCCGTGGCCTGCTTAAAAATATACCGTAATGTATAAAAATATAGGCGTAATGGCTTGGCGCTTTCCCCTTCCCTTCATTTGTTGCACACGATCAAACGGATACGTCAGTAGCCCGGAATCTTATTTCTAGAGATTTCAATATTTTTTCCTGCAAACGCCACACACAAACATTTTTCCTAGCCAACCGATCTCACTGGGAACAACCCGTCCTCTTAAAAATAACGTCGCTTTTCGCTCGTATGTGCGCTATGGCCAAAAATTGGCGTAATTTGAAATGAAATCGGCTCACGAAAGTGACGTACTGTCCCGTTTTGTGTTTGAGTCGTCCGGCTTACTCGGAAAGGTTAGAAGAGGAAACTTTCAATTAACGGTTTTCATAACGTTTTGAAACTTTATGAAAATTTCCTGCCCACCTAACCTACCAGAGGACCCCTAACTTACTGTTGTTGAAAAAAAATCCCAAATTTATTTTTATTTTCAAATTGCGTCCATTTTCGGCCATACGGGCAAACGGCCAAGAGCGACGTTATTTTGAAGAGAACAGGTTGCATTCCCATCTTCTCTGCCACCAATTCACCCTTGACCCGTCACACTTTTATTGCGTTCAAACTCATCGGCTAATAAGAAAATCAGGATACAGCAGAGTAGAAAGTATGATGACCAGACCACACACTAGAAATTGAAGGGACGACGACGTTTCGGTCCGTCCTGGACCAAGAAACGTCGTCGTCCCTTCAATTTCTAGTGTGTGGTCTGGTCAACATACT